CTACCTCTCTATTATTAACTAGGTAGCTTCCCTAAGGAGCTCTATCACGCGCAAGAAGCGTGCCTTAGAGTCTATAGGGAGCCGCCTAGGTTGCCCTAACCTAGGATCTATAGGGGGAACCTTAGAGGAGCTAGAGTCCTTATCTTCTAATAAGAAGCTCTAGGCGCCCTTAGCTGTAGTATTAGCTTTGCGCGTAAGCTTAGTAGTAGTAGTAGTAGCTTTTATTAGCTCCTACTACTTAGCCTTGCTCTTCTTAAGGAGCACTAAGACCCTCTACTTCTTATCCTTAAGAAGGTCTTAGCTCTTACCTACCTACCTCCTTACTAGGAAGGATAGTATAGAATATTAAGTAAGCTTAGGGCTATTAGTTTATTAGTATAGATCTTACTAAGTATTATAAAGGAAAAATTCTTATATAGATTATATATATTAGGATATAGCTATACCTAGAGAAGTACTACTAGCACTAAGTCCCCCTACTAGAAGAGTTATAGCACTTGCTATTAGACTTATTAAAGAGCGTAGAGTATAGATAATTTAGATAAGTTTTAGTATAATAAATACTAGGCTCTCTATAATAGGAGGATCTTAGGGTCTCCTTAGGAGCTAGAGAGGGAGTAGGAGTAGGAGCAGGGATATAGGGCGGGGTCTACAGAGAAGTAGGAGCTAGAGATAGAGCTAAAGTAGTAAGAGCTAGAGTAGAAGTGCCCTTCCTTAGCTTTACAATCTTAACTATAGTAGTAGTAGCTATATACTTAGCTACTGCACGCTCTATAGTAGCCTTACGCTTAGTAGTAGCACGCTCTTCTTTAGTAGTAGTAGCTTTAGTAATAGTAGCTTTAGTAGTATAGGAGGTAATAAGGGTAGCATAGGTAGAGTAAGCGTAAGTAGTAGTTTTTAACTTTAACTAAGATATAGGTTAGTAGGGATATAAGTATAGTTTAGATCTTTAGGGTTATATAATCTTATAATTTAAGCTATAGTAAAGATTATAGTTAGGTAGATAGAGTTATAGAGCTTAGTCTAGATAATATCTAAGCGCGTAAGCGTAGGCTAAATAAGGAAGGTGCGCTAGTTAGTATCTAAAGGGTAAGCTAATTTAACCCTTTAGATATACAACGCTCTAATTAGCTACACTACCTACTAACTATAAGTGTAACTATAATAATAAAAGATCTACCTATACCTAGGGGGTGTGTTATAGGAGGGATATTAACTAGATTATAGAGTATCTTAATCTAATTAATCCTAATTAATACCCCTATATAACCTACTATCTAATTAACTGCTAGCCTACTGCTAAGTGCCTAATAAAAAGCAGGAGCTCTAGTAAGGAAGGTTTACTAATTATTTACCTTCTAGTAAGGGTAGCTAAAGCTCTATATATATAACTCCGATCGTAGTAGATATAATCTAATAATCCATCTCCCAAATTATTCCTAACCTTAGTAATCTAGATTTCTATAATAACCTATTAACTACTATCTATTATTACTATATTGCTATTATATATTATCTTATTAGATTTATACCTATTTTAGAACTCTTAAGGTTTCTAGGACACTACTTCTAGCAAACCCCCTTTAATTTAGTGTCTATTGCTCTATTAGAATCTAGATTAGAATCTAATTTAACAGTAATCTTGCCTAGACTAGGTTCTTTAGCTACCTATTTAGCAACTAGCTTAGCTAGCTTTAGAGTATAGGCAGGAGGTAGAGTAGATTTAGTTATCTTCCTAATACTCTTAGATAGCCTAGTAATAGCTAATACTATTGCCTCCTAACTTGCTACTATTTCCTCCTAGAGTTAATCTATCGCGTACGTTATGCCTTTAACTTCTAATACTATTTTAAATATACTATTATAAAATCTACGTACATTAGATAAGGTACAATAGTAAGTAGCTAGAAGGATATTAGTAGCTTTTATACCCTTATTCTAAGAATTAATAACTATAATATATTTAGCTAGGGTTAAGATAACTTCTTAATAAGTAGCCTTAAATTCCTTAATATCTAACTAAAAAGTAGTACGCGTCTCCTCTTTTTTATAGCCTTTAGGGGGGTTTATAACTAGATATTAGTACTTATCTAGCCTATTTTAAAGAGCTAAATACTTAAGGCTAATATATAAGGGAATCTAGTATAAACTAGATTATAGAACTTATTCTAAAGAATATAGTACTAGAGTTAAAGTTAAAATTATTAAACTTACCTTAGGCAATAGCTCTAATAGCTCTTATACACAAGGCGCGATAAGCAACAGGTAGAACTCCTAGTAGTACTATAACTAGTATAGTATATACCTATAATTTAGTTTAGTAACCTACTTAATTATATAGATTAAAAGTATACTAGATTTTAGATAGTATAGATTAAAGGTTTAAAAATTTAGGGATATAAGAATTAGAAAGTTAGTAGGTAGAGGCCTAGATATAGGCAAGCTGTAGATAAGGGTCTGTGCCGTAGGAATAAGAAGTAAAGGTAAAGGTAGAAGTAAAGGTAGAATTATTTTGCAGGAGTATTTTTTTAAAGAGGGATCTAAACCTAATTATAAGGATAGGGACTATCCTTTCTTTATAAAAGAGGGTAGTATAATAATAGTGTAGACTTGTTTGCCTATTATTCTATATTAAGGTTAGCTCTAATAAAAGACTAAGTTATTAATATATATAGAGTGTAGCTTAGCTATATTAGGATAGGCATGTTCTTCTTATCCTTTTGTGTAAGACCTATAGGTGTAGGAATCTTATCCTTTTTTATATAGACGCGCACTCCTATATGCCTTAAGTCGTATAGGATACCTTTTAGATGCCTTACCTACCTGCGTTGTTACAGGAGCTAGAGTAGGAGTAGAAGCAAGGGCCTTAGAAGGGGTCTAGGGGAGGACAGAAGCTAGAGTAGGAGTAGGAACTAGAGATTGAGCTAGAGTATAAGTAGGGGCTAGGGTAGGGGAGGGCCAAACGCTACTCCTTCTTAGTAGCTTAACCTTAGCCTAATAGGCCTTTATATAGTCCTTAATTATAGTATTAATAAGGGCCTTCTTAGTAGCCTTAGTAGCTATACGCTTACTAATTTTAGTAGCTTAGGTAGTAGCGTGCTTAGCCTAAGTAGTAGTAGTAGTATCCCTAGTAGCATAGTAGGTATTAAGGGTAGTAAACGTATAGAAATAAGCGCAAGTAGTAGTTTTAGACTTTAACTAACATATAGGTTAGTAGGGATATAAGTATAGAATAGATTTTTAGTTTATATAAGCTTATAATTTAAGCTATAGTATAGGTTATAGTTAGTGTCGCAAACCAAGAATAGGGCAAAAGTAAATACTATTACCCTACTCTAATAAGTTAATATATATAGTGGGATATTAATAAGATATTGTATTGCGATAGTTAGGTATTAGGAGCTTAGAGCTTACTTCTAAGAATATCCTAACGTGTAAGCGCATAGACGCGCTAGATATAATAAGGTAGGCATGTGGATTATAATAAAACAATAGATCTACCTATAGCTTAGGGGTATAATATAGGACAGATAATAACTAGATTATAGAGTATTATATTTTAATTAACTAATATAAATCCTACTTATTATCCCTAATTTATACCCCTAACTAACCTACTTTCTAATTAACTACTAGCTTGCTACTAAGTGCGTAATAGAGAAAGACGCTCTAGTAAGGAAGGTTTACTTATTATACACTATCTATTAAGGGTACTTAAAGCTCTATTTATACAAGTCCTATTATAGTAGACATAATTATATAATCTATCTATTAAATTATTCCTAAGATTAGTAATTTAAATTTCTATAGATCTTAATATAGTATAGAAAGTAGGGGTATAGGTATACTAATTATAATTATTTATAATTCTTGATATATATTATAAATAGACAATCTATCTTTATAGTAGGAATATTTATTATAGTTAACCTTATAGATATATTCCTAAGCTATATAGGTCTACCTTAAATATATAATAGCTTTTTACTATAAAGTAGTTAAATATAAATAAAGGGATAATATTCCTAAAGTAGTATATTATATCCTAGCTAAGGTATATATATTATATCCTAACTAAGGTATATATATTATATCCTAACTAAGGTATATATATTATATCCTAACTAAGGTATATATATATTAGGTCCTACCTAAGGTGTATATATATTAGTTCCTAACTAAGGTATATATATATTAGGTCCTACCTAAGGTATATATATATTAGGTCCTACCTAAGGTATATATATATTAGGTCCTACCTAAGGTGTATATATATTAGGTCCTAACTAAGGTATATATATATTAGGTCCTAATTATATAGAACACTAATAGTATCCTAATAAGAAGGTAGATTAGGTGTCCTAACTAATAAACACAATATACTTAGTAGGTAGGCTATCTAAAACCTATATAATATAACTTAAAGGTATATAGAAGTTTATATCTATATAGAAAAGGATACTATCTATAGGTCTTGTATAAAAGGATAAGAAGAATATATCTATCTATTTATAAGTATAATGCTCCTTTTATATCTAGAGGTAGAGGGGCCTTAGACTAGAGTTAGAGCCGTATTAGAGCTTATACCATTTTGGCTAGTCTAATAAGAAAACACTAGAACGAGTGCTTGCACTTGTTACAATAATTAGCTAATTTTCCTTGGACACTTATTTTCTACGAGTCACTAGTAGCGCATAGTCCTCTTTAGCATTAATTCCTAGTAGGAGATAACTTTCCTATACTATCTAGTGTTAGTATGTCGCTACGGTTTATATTACCCTGCGCTGTAGCGGCAAAACACGTGATTCTCACACTACCCAAGCGCATGCGCTAGCATGTTTCTGTAGCTGGCATGTTCGTGTAGCTGGCATGCCAGTGAGACGTTATAGGCTTCTTTCTGTTTTGCTTTGTAATAACTATCTGCTCTCGCCCGCATTCCTACAAGGCAAGTCTATCCTTACTTCTAACCAAGAGCTACACGTGTCCAGTCAAGGACAGTAATGCTCTCTTCGTTGGGGTCGACCGTTGGACTCCCATGCTTCCAAGGCGTTCTGTACCGCTTCCTCATCCGTGAGACCGTCCCAATACAGCCATGGACCAAGCCACAAGCTCAGCCATTCGCCCAGCGACCGCAGCCCCCAAAACAGGCCGCAACACATCACACTAGCACAGACCAACGCCCCGAAGATGGCGGCGGTATGTGTCCGGGGAGCTTTGAGGAAGTCTTTCTTAAATGCTTGCCAGCGAGTGGGAGGAGAACGTGGACCACGAACACGGGTGATCTTTGGGGTGACAGGACTGGATGCTAGTTTGGCTGCAACGCAGGATGGCTCGGACATGGTGGCGACGCTGTTGTCTGCTGACGATTGTTCGTGTGGCAGAATATCCCCAGTCAACCGACGTCCGTTGCAATGACGTACAGCAGGCAAGCCAGAAGGATCTTCTTTGATGGCAATAACATTGGTGGTAAGAGAAGCAGACGATAGCGTGCGACGCCTATGGGAGGCAGAGCGAGGCGTCATGATGCCAAAAGGCAGTATGGGTCGATGGGAGATGGAACAACGTGGAAGGTGGTGTAAGGAAACCTGGTGTACAGATGGCGAAGTAGGTGCATGTATTCCTGTCTCGGCTTGCTCTGCAGAACAAAGCAAGGACAACAAACAACCAAAAGGTCTCTTATTCATTCTAGAGTGAGCTGTTCTAAAACAGCAAACAAGGCTGTGCATCTTGCCGGCAGGTTCAACGACGCATGAGGACCAGGAGCGGATGGGATCTGATATAGTCGCGCATGGCCTCGCTCAAGATTGATTTGGCTGCCTTGTATGCAGGCAGTGTGCGATGACAGGCGATGAGGCGGGAGGGGAGGATGGTGATGATGGCTGCGGCAAGCTGCAGACAGTGGAAGCACGGCCAACATGTTGGTGGATATTGATGCCTTGATAGTTTGAACAAGCAGGAGTGGAGTGGATCTGGTAGGCGAGCCCGATTGGGGGCATCACTTGGGTGAATGTGCACGCTTGACGACGGCTTGGGTGTTGCAGGTGGAGGGAGGGGAGGGGAGGGGGGCCAGGTGAGATCGCGGTTCCGCCACGTGACGCCGAGTTTGCGCTAACGCTGACTAACTGAATCGCTGTCCCGCCGTCGCTTCCCACTGGATTGCGATTGTGACTACAACAGCCTTTCAGATCCCATAGACAATCCCATGACACGGGCAAAACGCCCGAACATTACCAGCGACCGCAAACTGAACGCCTGGAGCCGCATCTCCCATCATTGGCACGTCGACGCGGATGGACTCAGCGCCCTAGACATTAGACTGCCGCCAACTCCGGGCAAAACGCTCCTCGAGACCCTAGCATTGATTGCCAGCCGCTACCCGATATCCGACTTTCGACGCGTCTTGAAACCCTTGCTAGCTCAGCCGCGTCATCCCGGCCGAGCGCCCCAGGCGGCGACGGGAACACGTCTTGTGCAGCGCCAGGACGTGATTTTGGCGCGCCAAACACTTGAGGCCGCCGCCTCCGCCCATTTTGACGGAAGCGACGATTCTGAGGATCAAGACGACGGCACGGAGGAGAGCGAACAAGGGGTGGATAGCGAGCACGAGGAGGTCACTATAGATGGGCTTCACACGGAAGATCGCCTGAGTCCACCCTTGCTTCTGAACACCATCAACCAAACTCGAACGGACATCGAAGACGGCGAAGACGGCGACGACGCCAGTGTGGACAACCAAGACATCGTGGACACAGAAGACGGGGCAGGTAACGGGAGAATTGAAACTTTAGGCAGTGACGCCATCCAGAATCTCCAGAACGTGCCCCTAGGTCGAGACAGTGAAGAGGAAGAAGTCCCGTCGCCTGAACACGCCCGAAGGGTTGCAGATGCGCACTCGAATCAAGACGATTTTAATCCCGACGAAGAAGAAGAACCACCATCCTACTATTGGCCTGAGGGAGAACAGGAACAAACATTTGACTCTCTCAACTGCGAAGTCGAGAGACCACTAATTAGCCCATCTACTCGCAACGAAGATGACCAAATTGACTGCCCTTTTCACGACGTAGACGACGAAAGCCTCTTGGTAGCCAGTTGCGACAGCGAGAACAACAGCTACATCACTTCCCCACGTCCTATCGGTGAGAGCCCTCCCTGCCACATTCCCTCACCCTCATTGCTGAGCCCGCATTTGCCCTGTCATCGCACGCGCTCCGCTCCACCTCAATCAACGTTCACCAACCCAGCGCGAATGCCAGTGACAACTCGGCAAGGCAGTGAAAGCATCATGGTCAACTCCACAGCCAAGCGTACAAAGTCCAACGAACCCAGCGCTCGAGACTTACGGATGGCATTATTGCCGCCTAAAAACTCCCACGAACAATCTAACCAAAGAAAGCGCAAAGCTTCTTTGGGTCTCCGTGAACCCAACGATTTTGATCCTGCGGCACTGGACTGGTTTGGGCCAGAGGACCAGGACACCAAAGAGTCGTACCTCACCGTTCTCCACCACCTCGGTCTCATCATCAAACGAGCTCAGCACTGCGAGAAAGCGCGCGCCACTGCTGTCGAAGGCCTAGCAGAGCAGTCCCGGCGCCTTCATGATGTGAACTCTGCCGCGACACTGCCACTTCTGCATCTTGATCAATCAGCCTATTCTGCAGTTGCCCACGAAGCCCGTGTCCAGATGCTGCGCACGCAAATTGAAACCATGGAAGCCAGACGGGCTGACGTAGTCAGGGAAACAACAGAGCTTGATAATAGGCAGAGCGTGGAGAGGACGGCGAGTAAACGCGTCAGTGTCCATGAGCGAGTGTGGAACGACCTGGTCGAACACTTGAAAGACATTGCACTATAACTCTGCGGGTAACCTAGAGCAGGCTGGTTACCTGTTGAGTGCGGAATTGATTCGTATGATACCCCTTAGATTCTGCCGATTTCTTGCTGCGGTACGTCTACGACGTCATGATTGATGACATGTTAATAAATAGGTAGTGTGGTCTTAGGATGGCAACACATTACAAGTACAACCTCTATAGAGTAGGTATAGTCAGGATTACTTCAGAAGCTGAATACATGTACCTGAGGTTCACTGTGTCAATTGCCGATGAGTCCTCCAAGAGACGCACCTAGCTCAAGAGTTTGAAGAGCTTTCCTTGCCTTATTGATGCTTGATGATTTATTATACTATTTGCCAAAGGATACAACAGATCCATCTACTAAAGTGAGAGCCAAATGTATTGCAGGAGTGCTGTTCGAGCTACTCTTTATGCGCAGATCACTAGTTGGCACATCACTGGAAGCTCTGCTGAGCGGGCGAGGTGAACTCGTCTCCCTACCCAAAGCATACTTAACTTGGCCGGTCATGTCATCATTTGTGGCTAATAGACACCACGAACTTCCTATATCGTCTCGTCTCGTCTACGGTATATTCTGCATTGCTGCCCTTTGTTCCAGCATCTACGTACAACACATTTCACTCCTCTTCCTAGCTTGCACAAGAATAACTGCGTCCAACCCAACAAATGTTGAAATTAGAGTCCAGGCCGCACCTAATCCACGATTATGGGCGATAGATCTAGTATCAGGACACAATAGACTATGCGTCAAGTACGGGTGCTATACTCTCGTCATCTACTTAGCCCTCTAGCAGTCTGTCTGCAACCAATCTGTACTTATTATAATCTTATCGTCACTTCCCTACCAAATTGCGTTTGGGCTAGAATGCAGCTGGTAGACCGCAGAAAGTTTATAGAGACTTATTCATAGTATAGGATGGCTTCTTTCCTTGTTTCTCTTCATCTTGTTACCACTTGAGCAATGTGAATGTGCAACTGGCATACTAAAACGGGACTCGAGAAGCTGGCGGCGGCAACGTACAGCTGGGGATAAGCTTTCCGTCAGTGCAGGCCCTGGCAGAGGTGTACATACGTTAGTGAGAGACGTGAACAGGCGCTTAAAAAGGAGCGCACCCTTGCACACGTCTATACGGTCTATCCAAGTTGGTTTTCGTGTTTTGATTTGTTTATCTACATTTAGAGAGCCAGCGCCCTACTCCTTATCCCTGCCACACTGCTAGTTATCGCAAGACGCTCGTCTACATGGTTCCTTCGAGTCCGTGCCGGATGTTAACGATGCTGGGTTCGCGCGGCATGCCTGCGCCTACTTTACCATCGATACGCTGCTCTACAATCGCTGGCGCAAACATGGTTTTCCAATACTCTATGACCTGATTCGTAGTCGCCATTGGACCCCCCCATCGCCATAGTGGCTGTATCTGCTGGGTGTTTATCGATGATACAGCAGCACCGGCGGGTAAGGGATCGCACTTTAGGCGCTTCCGTGAGCTTGTATTGGTATCGGTAGAAGGTGTGAGCTGCTGGCGCTTGCGGGTCTTAGTATTGCTTGTCGTGACGATGTCTGAGAAGGGAGGGTTAGTGCGAGACGACTCGAGGTCGGGGGGAGACTGAGGTGTACGCGTTGTAGGTGGTTGTGCTGAGTATGGGTCAAGGTGTGAGAAACGCGTGGGGTCACGGCTGTTGTTGCTGTCGTCGTCATCTTCCGGACGTTGATCGTGAAGGAGTGGTAAACCCCGCTCGAGGTGGTCGCGTATCTGGCGGTTGCCTTTGTCATAGAGGGAGTCGAGATGCAATATCTTAGCCTTCACGCTGTCAAGGTGCTCAGGCAAAGCTGGGATGCTGCTGATTTTCTTCTTGGCGCGCCAGATTATAGCCCTTGGATCTCCGTACCAAATTCGCGTGTGTTTCAGGCGACGTTGACGGGCGCCCTCCTCTTCAAAGGAAGACAGATAGTCCGTCACCATGAAGCAATCATAGAGGCCACCACACAACCCCTCGCTGGCAGTGATGCTTGCTTGGCTATGGACCTGGTTCGCTGAGACAGTTTGGGAGTGCAAGGCGCTGTGTTCTTGACGACAGTGGTCTTGATAGTGGGCGGAGAGCGGCGGCCTGAGGCAAGGAGTTTTGTGGAAGGCACGTTGCCATCTATCCTCCATATGGCAGAAGTAGTCCAGGTCGTGCGGGACAACGAGAAGGAGCGGAGGGTCTCTGTCAAATACGCTATGACAGAGCGGACAGAGAGGAAGCGCATTCTCGGCGGCGTCGACATGGGCAACCTCAACCAAGCCATAGTCGCGACACTGAGCATAGGCCGTGTCTGCTTTGGCGAAGACATGAGCCATCTCTGTGATGGTAGCCCCACAGTGCCAGCAGCCAGGTGGATAGATGGCGTTGAGCTGGCTTCGCACAGTGCTTCCAAAGCCCGTGCTGCTGGACTTGCGCGATCGCTTGGCTGGATTTGTATTCGAGGCACTTGAGGCGATGCTGACGTCGTCGTCGAGGCGCCGGCGGCGAGCACCGCTAGACGTGCGTTTGGGAGGTGCGGGCCTTATGAACGAGTCCATGGCGTGCACTGCAAGGTACAGCGTTACCGTCCCAGCTGTTGCAAATGGCTGGAGGCGACAAGAGGCCGCGTGCGGTGGTCTAGAAGGAGTTGGTCTAGAAGTTGGGTAGTGCAAACTAGTCGTGATAGAATGCCTGCTGCAGGTGATAGAGCGGAATCTCGAGAGAAGATTAGCACGTGACCTAACAGGGCCACCTATAGTATACCCTGCCCTAGTCTAAGTAGCTAATAACTACAATCTATTACGCAAGTAATACTATAATTATATTAGGGTAATAGGTTAGGTAAGCAAGATATATGTAGTATACTAGCTATATATAGAGAATACTATAGAGTTAAATAGGTGTCCTAACTAATAGAGTGTATATTAGGTGTGAAAACTAAAAGAGGGTTTTGTGGTGTCCTAACTAAATTTACTTAGGACGCCACGCCCTAAAGGGGTATTATCGCGTATAAAATAAGGCAATTATAACTACTATTACCTTACTATATTATAGTATATATAATTTAGCTATAATATTATATATATATATAGGAGTTTAAGTAGTAATATAGTATCTATTATAGGAGGGATATTAACTAGATTATAGAGCATCTTAATCTAATTAACCCTAATTAATACCCCTATATAACCTACTATCTAATTAACTGCTAGCTTACTGCTAAGTGCCTAATAAAAAGCAGGAGCTCTAGTAAGGAAGGTTTACTAATTATTTACCTTCTAGTAAGGGTAGCTAAAGCTCTATATATATAAGTACAATTGTAGTAGATACAATCTAATAATTTATCTCCTAAATCATTCCTAACCTTAGTGATCCAAATTTCCACACTAGTAAATAGAGAGGAGGGAGCAAGTAAAGAGATAGAACTTAAAGAAACCCTAGAGATTCTATACCTAGCTTAGGCCTATACAGACCCCTTCGCGATAATCTAACTACTAGATAGTGTAGGTAAAGGCTATACAAATTTAGGGCCTAATTAGGACCTGCTAGTAATAAGAAGAAAGGTATAGTTTAAAGAAGTAAAGGATAAGGAGCTTAAGGGAATAATGCGTCTAAGCTTAAACTAAATAGTAGCTACTTTTCTTAGGCAGGAAGTCTAGGGAATTATAGTAGCTAACCTACTAGGGCAAGATTATCTATAGGAACAAATTAAGATATTATTATAGGAACCCTAGACTTAAGTCCTAGAGGATAATAACAACTTTAGTAGGGTAAACATACTAGAGCTAGGGGGCCTAGAAAGTGCGCTAGTCCTAAATAGGTATCTAAAGGATGCGCTAATTTCACCCTTTAGATATATTAACTAATTAGAGGAGCTAGAGGTAAAGAACCCTACGCTAGGTTAGCGTAATATGCGTGCAATGCTAGAAGTATATAACACCTAGGTAAGGCTCTAATTTAAATAAAACTTAGATAAGTATAGAAAAGATTTAGTGTGGAAATCCAGATTACTAAGGTTAGGAATAATTTAGGGGATAGATTATTAGATTATATCTACTATAATTAGACTTATATATATAGAGCTTTAGCTACCCTTACTAGAAGGTAAATAATTAGTAAACCTTCCTTACTAGAGCTCCTGCTTTTTATTAGGCACTTAGCAGTAAGCTAGCAGTTAATTAGATAGTAGGTTATATAGGGGTATTAATTAGGGTTAATTAGATTAAGATGCTCTATAATCTAGTTAATATCCCTCCTACAACACACCCTCTAGGTATAGGTAGATCTTTTGTTATTATAGTTGCGCTTATAGTTAGTAGGTAGTGTAGCTAATTAGAGCGTTGTATATCTAAAGGGTTAAATTAGCTTACCCTTTAGATACTAACTAGTGCGCCTTCCTTATTTAGCCTGCGCTTACACGCGTAGATATTATCTAGACTAAGCTCTATAACTCTATCTACCTAACTATAATCTTTACTATAGCCTAAATTATAAGATTATATAACCCTAAAGATCTAAACTATACTTATATCCCTACTATTATAATATAATATCTTATTAATATCCCACCATATATATTAACTTATTAGGGTAGGGTAACAGTGTTTACTTTTGCCCTATTCTTGGTTTACAACACCTACTAACCTATATCTTAGTTAAAGTTAAAAACTACTACTTACACTCGCTCTACCTACGCTACCCTTATTGCCTCCTGCGCTGCTAAAGCTACTATTACTAAAGCTACTACTACTAAAGAAGAGCGCGCTGCTACTAAGTATAAGGCTGTTATAGAGCGTGTAGTAGCTAAGCGCGTGGCTACTACTACTATAGTTAAGATTATAAAGCTAAGGAAGGGCGCTCCTGCTCTAGCTCCTACTACTCTAGCTCTAACTCTAGCTCCTGCTCCTCCCTAGACCCCGCCCTATATCCCTGCTCCTACTCCCTCTCTAGCTCCTAAGGAGACCCTAAGATCCTTCTATTATAGAGAGCCTAGTATTTATTATACTAAAACTTATCTAAATTATCTATACTCTACGCTCTTTAATAAGTCTAATAGCAAGTGCTATAACTCTTCTAGTAGGGGGACTTAGTGCTAGTAGTACTTCTCTAGGTATAGCTATATCCTAATATATATAATCTATATAAGAATTTTTCCTTTATAATACTTAGTAAGATCTATACTAATAAACTAATAGCCCTAAGCTTACCTTATATTCTATGCTATGCTTCCTAGTAAGGAAGTAGGTAGGTAAGAGCTAAGACCTTCTTAAGGATAAGAAGTAGAGGGTCTTAGTGCTCCTTAAGGAGAGTAAGGCTAAGTAGTAGGAGCTAATAAAAGCTACTACTACTACTACTAAGCTTACGCGCAAAGCTAATACTATAGCTAAGGGCGCCTAGAGCTTCTTATTAGAAGATAAGGACTCTAGCTCCTCTAAGGTTCCCCCTATAGATCCTAGGTTAGGGCAACCTAGGCGGCTCCCTATAGACTCTAAGGCACGCTTCTTGCGCGTGATAGAGCTCCTTAGGGAAGCTACCTAGTTAATAATAGAGAGGTAGGCTATAGTTAGTTATTCTTATATTATATATTAATAGATCTTATATACTACCTTACTTTAATTAATACTATATAATATATACTCTACTATTATATAACTTTAGGTGCTCCCTAAACCTTATAAATTATTATATAGTTAGGTTTTTAGTAAGCCTATTAGCTAGTATATTACTAGTAGGTAGATAGGTAATATAGAAAGATCCCTTTGCATGCTTTTATCTTAGCTATATGTTTTAAATATCTATATAGCGTAGCTTAGTAGTAATCCTTTTATTATTACCTACTACTAACGTAATAGTTTGTTAATTATTATAATTAATTATATAGGTAGTATCTAAAGTAAGGTGTATTTTAGTTAAAAAGCGTTTTAACGCTATTAATTCTTTGCTTACTTGCTTAAGCGTAAGGAGCTCTGCCTTAGTAGTTAACGTGGTAATAGTTACTTATTAAGCTACCTTCTAAATAATAGGTCCTCTAAAGAGCATAATTAGGTATCTACGTAATAATTGCTAAGTATTAATATTATTAGTAAATAACGCATTACTATATATTATAAGCTTATTAGGATCCCTATTCCTATATTAGATTAATTAGTATTAAGTTTAGTATAGATTAATAATCACTTGATTAACCGTATTAAATTGTTGTTTAGATAGGTTAGTAAGGTATTAGGAGAGCTAGGAGGCTATATAGGCAATATTAGGGCGCACTATAATTAAGGTGTAAAGGATTAATCTAACGCGCTCCTAATAGTCCTTAATCTCTTTTTTAGTAGCTTCTCCTATGCTCTTTTTAATATCTTTACTTAATAGTAGTGTAGCAGGGAAATTTTCCTATCTTTGCTAGATTAAATTTCTTTACAATCTTGTTAATATATTTATTATAAACAAGCGTTATTGTCTATCTCTTTCTATCCTAGATTACTCTTACCCCTAGAAACTAGCTTACAGGTCCCTTTTCTTCTATAGTATATCTTTGCTTTAGAGCTTAGATAACTTTGTAAGCTTAACTTGCGTAGTTTTAGTAATAGAGTGATAGGATATCGTCCACATAGAATATTAACAAGATACTGCAATCTCTATTAAAGAATAGGCATGGCTCCTCTTTAGAAGCAATAAGCTTATTTTCTTAGAGTGTAGTTAAGAGCTTATTGTACTATAATAATAGTAAGTCTTTTAGTCTATATAGAGCTTGTTTAAGCTTAACAAACTTCCTAGGTATTTAATATCCTTTAGGTAGCTTGTAGATAACTATAGGGTGTTAATCCCTTAAGGCATTAAGGAAAGCTGCTAATAACGTTATATTAATATATCTTAAGGTTAAACTTAGCTTTAATAGCTATTATAGTCCTAAAGGTTTAAGCTGCTAGGGTAGCTACGTAGGTTAAATAAATTAAGTTAGTAAGCTATAGATCTACTCTTACTACTATTCTTGCTTTGCACTTAATTAGGTAACTGTCCTAATCAAGCTTGTATATAAACACCTATTTAAGTAGGAGTAGACGCTCTCCCTATAGCTAGCCTATTAATCTCCTCCTAGGTACTAGCTTTTAGCAGAGTATTAATTTCTTTATATGCTGCGTCTCTAAATTGCTGTCCTATTTAGTAGTTATAGAGATCCTTCTATTGTTTTAGCTCTTTTTGTAGAGCGTCCTAGTGCGTATTTCTTTTAGGGTTTTTAGGAGATTTACTCCCTATTACTACTATAATTATAGCGTGGATTATAGCGTTTAGTTTAGGATATACTAAAAGATTGTGCAAGGGATTTCTAATTAGATCTATATCTAATAGATCTATTACTATATATATCCCTATACTTGTAGAGCCTCCTAGTAGTTTATTAGGGTCCTGTCCCTAAGCTTGCTTACTAACACGCGTTAGTGGCAGTCCTTTAACTTGCGGTTTTCTGCTTCTTCTAGGAGCTCTAGGTGCCGCTTGTAAGGGATCTGTAGGAGATATAGAATCTAGTCCTAAAGTGGGTAGGTAGGAGCTCTACTTACCACCC